GCACACTATCTGAAATATTCATTTATTACTACAAATTTTTGTCATTTATAGTAACAGTTTTTCATTCAAAATCAAAACATACAACTGTACAGTTTTGTTAACAGGTATTTAACACATAATAATCTAAGTCCACTATTTTCCCAGATATTTATCTTGTCAAATGAAGAGTTTTGAAAAAGAAAAACAATAATGTGACAAACAACAATTGCAATTGTTTTTACATTTCTCACTCAAAAACAAGCGAGAACATTATAGTCGCCCAAGGTCAACGATTAGAAGGTTTACACCGCTTGACGTGCCACAATTCTTCATTGATTTTGGTGGCAGAATACCAACAATTACACTTTGTTTCCATCTAAATTCACACTTGTAATGGAAACCCTTATATGAAAAAGGCGTGAAAGCTGACCTGCCCTAAATTAAGCAAAATCGGTCGTCTTGTCAAGGGCCTTATTATTTATTCACTTGTTCTACTCATAATGAGATAAAGATTAGATTTTGTTGCCATAGAAAGACTTAAATTTCCCCAAGTGTACGGCAAGGCCAAGTTCAAAAAGTAGATCTATGTACTCCAAGAAAGGCATAGATAATTTTTATCAAGTTGCTATTATAGATGGATTTTTGTCATAATATATTCAAACTTTGAGCTTTACGGCATATAAAGGCTTAGGAGCAGCTACCTAAGAGGAGGATTCAGGAAATTGGCAGAGCCGCTCCGAAGTACTATTACTCAACAGTTTTTATCGAGGAACTTTGAAAATTTAGTTATTATTCATGTAAGGATTTTTGCGTACAATGAGTAAAAGACAGAGAAAGTCCTGGCTTGGTTTTTTCAAATAATTATTTTCTATTGCATACGTTAGGGGAGGAGAATATTGCTTCCTATATTATATTTATGTACAAATATACAGTATCGTCTTTGGTCATATTTTCGTACAAAAGAAACTTCGATTGCCACTAAAAGAATAATTTATTCATATATATTATTATACTATTAATAAATCTTAAAACAAGCATAAATCTAAAGCAAAACAAGTTATAATACAAGAATAAATTGAATTGAATTTCTTTATATTTATATCAAAATGACAAACATGTTTTTGCAATCATTTTACGGTGAACAGTTTCATAACAATATTTTCTTATTATCAAATATTATCCAACAGTTATCTGAGTTATCTGTGTTGTTATTATATTGGCAGTAAAATCAGTGAAAAGATTTTGTGTCTTCTATTGCTTTACACAAATCTCATTACATCTCTACATTATAAGGTACTATTCCTTAGAATAAGACTCTTACATATAATAATTAATAATAATAAAAAAATTATCAAATTTTATAAGTAAAAGCGTGGTCAGCATTATCTTTGTGTGTTTGGGGTTTAAACACATGCGAACTTATTATGTCTCAAATGGGATTCTACAGTCTGCCACACTTACAGAAGGCAATAAGCCTCCTAAGCGTTGCGGTCTGCTGGAAGATGGCCCTTATTTCCTAATTCGCATCATTTTTTTTGAGTTTGGCCTGATGTCGACCGTGGTGACCGGTATGGAATTTTTGATGTCGAGTTAATGTATGTGACATTTCGTAGGATCTGCTATTGTCTGGATATCTGTCATTTTTTGTTTTTGGAAAATATCATTTGAAATTGCTCCACGCTTGATCTACGCAATTCATTTAAGTGCTTACTAGGCACGATGTGCTACTTAAGTTGCATTAAGTTGTGCTACGAAAATTATCAGCTTCATCATCCTTTATGCTAGCTTGTTAAGACTTAGTAATCAGAATTATCACGAATTTAATCGTGATGTTAACGAGATGCCAATCTCTCTTCCACGAACTCTGACATGTCTGGTTTATTGCATTGTATGCATATCTACGTATGTCCACTAGCTTATACTATTCTTATTGCTAATAGTCGGATATGTAGTGTATGTATTCAGTTAATTTATATATGTCTACTTGTGGTTCCTTAGACTTGTACATGTGCATAATATTATGTAATATTATTCGTTTATGAAAGATATGTTTAGAGGGGTATTAGATATAGACATTTGTACAAGTATACATAAATACATGGATGCGAGCACATATGTGTATATGCATATATCTTTGAATGCACACATTCTCTTTCTAGGTTCTAGTATATTGAATATCTTCTTTTTTGGAGATCTTTACCATAAGCCTTGTCAACATATTCATATAGACACTAGCATATAAGTTCTGCGCGTGTAATCTTTACATTGATTCCAATGTATATGTTTACCTAATAATCGTATAAATAAATAAATAACCAATTTATTCCTTTCGTTACTGACCGCTATAGCCGGAAAATATGCAATACAAAACGCATAGTTATACGGATTTCAATTCTATCTTGAGTTTTTTTTCTGTTAATGCCTATGTTAAAAAACTATTAATATATAAAAAAGGGAAATTTTCTTCTTACGCGTAATCTCCCGTCAATAATTTCTTACATCAGCTGAAATAAAAACTGAGTCAACGTAATAAAAAAAATCTTTAAATTTCAAACTTTCGTCTTTAAATTAGTGTCGGTGTAATTCTTATATTAAAGAAAGACGATAGTGATAGAGAGTTAGATATGACTTTCATTTTTTGACTTGAAAGATGTTTGCAAGAACACCGGAAGTACATAAAAATTTTTTTAAATTCGATTAGCTAATGGACTGTAACTGACGCTGCACGGATTGAGAAGCAATCGAGTTTTGAGAAAAATGCGATGCGATAATATTACGTACGCCTTTTTTCTAAAGGAAGCCCTAAAGCTTTCCAACCTCTTCAATTTGTACATAGGGGCGCATCCTTGTAGAAACTTATATTTAAGAGTCACGTTATGCCATAGCTATCGTACACACTTCCATGATTGTCAAATTGTGTACAAGCAAAACGAACACGAGACCTATCAAAAAGAGAACATATGTTAAACTTTTTTTTAGGGTATTTTTTAAATTGGCGAAGCTAACAATTGTTTAATTTCTTAAAACTATAGAACGGGATTCTACTAACCGCAATTAACCAGACTTGCATGCATTATGATCAACATAGCTTTTACCAGCGTTTGAGAGCAATATGACGAGTGCAGCCACCAACCGCAAGTAAGTACAAGTATGCGATTTACTATTTAAAAAGTTTAAGATTTGTTTCCTTTCTGTAATTGCAGCCAGCAAAGTGAATGCAAAAGAAGGAAGGCTCACGCTATTTGCTCCAGAAGCAAATCGTTAGTGAAAAACGCTTTCAAGAGACCACCCAACAATTATTTTAATATAATTCTCGAAAATATGTTATTAGACTGAACGCAATATAAAAACTGTTAAGGGGAAAAATCGAGAGCGATAGATTCATCAACGTCAAAGTACTGAAGCTGGAAACAAAAAAGCTTGATTTCTCCCTCCGCCGGATCTCAAATGATTTCGAGTGTGTTGACGAGAAACTTGGCTCTTAATTTCTTTTTTAATAAAACGGATCACCAGCGGTATGCACGTTATCTTTGAAGCATCACTTTGTCCAATTGTTTGCAATACGCATTTGAAGTTCACTTTCGATGCTCATAACTTTTGCAAAAATCTACACGCAACGATATAAGATATGTGCACCGCTCATATATCCAAAACACTTACAAATCTTCAGGCAGTGAAAAGCGATTGGAAGCTTTCTCGAATAAGAGAATAAGTAAACATCCAGCGAAGTCTACGCCCATTATAAGTTTAATGGCTGCCCCAGCCGAATCCTTAAATCCTTAACATAATGGTTTTTGCTAATTCCACTATTGTGTTTCTGTTTTTTGTGTACTATTTGTTGCAATGTATTTGAACTTCGAATATTGTTACTTTAGAGAGTAAGTAAATGAGAGACCACTTGTTAGAATGTGAATACTTGAAATATTTATTCTCCTTTCTCCGCATAAAGGCTATTAGAAATATTCCTCCCAGAAATAAAATGGATTAAAATATCCAATAAATTGTTCCTTTTCATTCATAAATTTTGTGAAGATACATTAGGGTTATCTATTTTATTTTCTACTATTCGCACACATGGTAATGATTATTTTCAAAGATTTAATGTTTTTTAATAATTTATTATGTTTATTATATTTATTATCTCTATTTGTTTTATAAAAAAAATTACACTGATTGGTTCAATGAGAGAAGCAAATTATTTAATAAGGCGGGCTAAGCTGAATTTCCCAAATGTACACAACCCACTTCTTTTTAATGTATGAATCGCGGATAATTGATTCATATTAAATATTCAGAAGATGCTTTCTTATCTTAGGTGCATATTATTATAACTATTGTAACTATGAACACGAACCTAAAGAAGAAATTCGATGAAACATTAACTATAAAAATAACATGAAATATTAATAGCAGTATAAAGCAAGAAATTTTCCATTGTCGCAGTTTCATCGTTGATAATACCTAAAAACTGAGTTAAGTGACGGAAGGAAACATCTCGCAGAGCATTTCCACGTCTAATAACAAGCCTTTATCGTAAACTTCCATCTTCCCCACCAAATGGTATAAAATGATGTGTCGAAGCATTCTGCCTAATATTTATATTGGTTAATACAAAATCAGTATTTATTTACATTTATTACTTACCTTTCACAAAATCAAATGCTTTTGTTTTTTGGTTTGTTGAAATTAAACTAACTAAACCAATAAGCGATGTCACTCATCTGCGCACTCAAAATAATTCTGCAAAAATCTTGAAGGAAAATTTTTTTCCTATTTTGTAATTTCGGTTTTACGGCTAACTCAGACTTTTTTGTTGAGTTATTGTGCTTTATCGTAACCTGGGCAACATGAAAGAATGTCCTAACAGCTGTGGTGCGACTAAAAAAGTCATCAACCAAAGCTGAATGTTATTGTCGCATAGGCGACCTCAAACCAGCTGACTTTCAGATACGTGATTTCCCCGGTTTCAATACGTGTTGTGTTATTAACGCGCTACGCATACATTTCCTAAAAATAAGAAGAAAATAATTTTTACCTATGCAACATAATTTTATTTAATTAAATGTAAGCAAAATGATTTGTCGATTGTGTTTAAAAGAAGTTGATAAATACATCGCAGGCAATATACTGGATGTGTCGTATGTAATTGGAAAATATTTCTGGTTTGAGGTAAACCAATTTAAAGAGTTTTCCCCAAAGGCAACAAAAGGTTTTTATAATTTTCAGCTTCAACAAAACGACCCAATATCAGCAGCAATTTGTGATAATTGTTGGGGTAAAGTTTCTGATTTTCATGAGTTCTACAAAAGTATTGAAAAAGTTCATGGCAGGCTAAGCGAAAATGTTATAGTTAAAATTGAAAGCCCTGGTAAAGAACACGCTATAGAAAGTGTAATGATTCAATCATTTCCATTGTCAAGTAAAAAAGAATCTGATGATTATTACACCAAAGTTAATGACGAAGTTCCTTTTGATATGTTGATTGAGAGCACTGATGACAGTATTCGTAATCAAAGAATTGAAGATTCACGTGATATATTAGGAACCGAAAGTTTTGGTGCAAACGATTTAGAGGATGCTGATGGTGCCGCTACTTGCAAAGATGAAAAATATTGTAGCAATAGTGATAACTCATCTAATGTTGAAGATATCATGAAAGATGGAAAAGATAATAAGCTAACGAAAAAGAAGAAATTTACTAAATCCGTGAGAACAACTGCAACTAAGATTTCTTTGGCCAGGTTGCGACAAAATAATACGGATGGTAAAATAAAATCAGAGAAAACTCAAAAACGCAATTTAAAAAAAGCAAAGAAATCACCGGAACAATCGAAAGCAGATAGTGACCAAAGTATAGCAATCGACGAAGAGATAGCAAAGTTTATGTCATTACATTGCGATTTGTGCAATTTCGCGGCTACGAATTTTTACTCCCTTCATAGCCATATGCACACAGAGCATAAAATCAAAGGTTACGTGAGATGTTGTAATAAGAAATTTTCCAAACGTTTCTTATTGCTGGATCACGTACGCCAACATTCAAATCCTGAGTGTTTCAAGTGCGTAAATGTAAATTTTGTTTATCAAAGTAATTCTATATCCTTTTCTTTTTCGTTCTTAGATGTGAACAATGTAATCGTGTGTATGCTGATCGCAATTCTATGCGCATTCATTTCCTCAGTAAACATAAAAAAGACGAAGATAAAATGTTTACTTGCTCTCAGTGCCCCAAAAAATTCTTTAGAAGATATTCCCTAAGACAGCATGAATTAGTTGGTCATAGTGATCACAAGAACGCATGTTTAGCCGTTGATGAAGAGATAGCAAAGTTTATGTCGCTGCATTGTGAACTATGCAAAACAGAAGCAAACAATTTTACAAGTCTTAAAGGTCATATGCGTGCTGAGCATAAAATCAAAGGTTATGTAAAATGTTGTAATAAAAAATTTCGTGAACGTGGTTTACTTGTTGAGCACATACGCGTACACTTCAATCCCGCCTGTTACAAGTAAATGTTATTATTAGATCCGTGTTTACTAATAAATGTAAAACTCATTATTTTCTTCCTTTTAGATGTGAAGAATGCAGTCTTGTTTTTCCCGATCGACAATCTATGCGTAATCATTTCCTTATGAAACATCCAAAAGTCGAAGACAAGCCTTTTGCTTGTTCGCAGTGTTCCAACAAATTTGTTACAGTATATTTATTACAGCGACATAAAGCGCTCGCCCACAGTGATCAATCGAAAACTTGTAGCAGTTGTTGTAAGAGGCAAGTTGTTCGTGAAATGTAAAATAAGTTTTCTTAATCTGGTTTACTTAGGTTTGACAGTGCAGCTCAGCTGTCTGCTCATATCAGAGAGCAGTGTTTGTGCGATACATGCGCGGAAGTTGTATGTGGGACTGTTGCCCTTCAACGCCACCTTCTAAAACATAAAAAGAGCTTTACTGAAGGAAAGGAAACTGAAATTCCTGATATTTCTAACAAGACATCACCTAGTCAACAAGGCAAATCAATTCGTAAATCCTGCGTTCTCAATTCTTTAAGTACAAGTGAATGCAATACGCCATCTGTGCACGAAAAGTTTCCATTACAATGTCAATATGCCGTTGCATCACAAGAAAATTGACCCACAATTCATCAGGGCGCGCTAATACCTCGTTAAATAATATTAGGAACGAAAGCAAAAACAAAGTCATATAAAATCTTTTAATAAAAGGCAAAGCCTGAATTTAAATTAAATTATTAAAAACCGATTATCACTTTCATTAAAACATAAGAAGCAAACTTAGAATTTATTACTAATAACACTTATGATGTCTTTGCTTACTTTGAAGATGTTTAATAAAACATTCAGGATGATATACCACAATATTTTCGAAAGCGGAAATGATTTACTTATTTTTTTGTTTATTTAATAGATTCCGAAAAAGGCAAACGATTTTCACTTATTATTATCTTTAATCGAATATAAGCTAAACAAGTAAGAAAATTATATTCTTTTATACCCATCACCATTTTTTAAATGTTTTTGCCAAATTTGAATACGATGTCTTCATTTTTGCGGCCACGAAAACGTTTACAACAGACATCACACAGACGGACATGCGTACATCGATTTAGAATTTGATGCTGATCAATAATATATATATATATATATATATATATACTTTGTGGAGTCCCTGACGCTTCTGCGCATTGCGAATGTTTTCGTAAGATACCAACACTCCTGTAATTTTCCAATTCGTTTTGTGGGCTCGGCCCACCATTGTAAAGCTGCGAAATAAAAGTCGCCTTGCGAGCCTAAGAAAATTTCAAATTTTGGTGAAAAATTTGTATAAAAGGAAAGCATAGTAGAATTGCGGACGAAACTTAACCAAGGCCAAGGAAGGTTTCAAAGTTGACAACGATATGAATATATCATCATAAACGGATACATATCGAATGAGCTTATTAATTAACGATAGTGGTCAGACGGAATATTTATGATTTTGTCTTTTTTAAAAAAATGGTGAAAATAAAGTATTTTTGGAAAACCGCGTAATATTTAATGCATCGTATATCCTTAATGTAAGCTATCACCCAAAAATTGAATTCAAATTTATCTATGACATGTCAACTTTACGTTAATTTATTGTTAAGCGATTACTTAATTTCGTTACGATTCGTATGCTTTTTAATTTATTTTTCTACCCTTAAGGTGTTGCCATGTAGTTTAGTATCTTTTTTTTTAAATATTATATTTATTTTCATAATAATCAAAAGGTACTTCCTCTTGTTCTTGAAGACTCAGGCAGTCTGTATTCTAATAGAAAAAGCTAAGGACTTAAAATGCAATGATGATTTATTGCGTTGTTCGGGTTAAAACGTCACATATGGTAAACACCAAAAAAAATACGAAAATTTTCTTCTTCTGCAAATCAATAAACGTAGATTCGCAGTGTTGCGTAAAAAAGTTTCAATTTGAATACTAAGATTTTTGTTAGAACTTTAATAAAGTTGATAAATGACTTGAATGCAGATGTATAAAGATGCATGCATAAATATTATGCATGTAAATGGAAGTGATTTAAGAAGTAGCTGAATATTGCGAATAAGAAAATCGATATTAAAAATATACAAAAACATACGGTTTAAGAACTAAAAGTAAAGCAGTCAACATAAATGTATGGAAAACAACAATAAGAAAATTGATGTAAAAGCAAGTTAAATTTTTGATTGAACAAAGATAGGACAGGACAGGACTTCCCTGACGCAAGTGAATAAAGCAAAAAAAAGGCTTACATGTTTTGAATTGGCAAATATATATGGTTTAAATTAGTACAAAATAAATGCAAACGACATAAATAATTTCTAAATTTCAAATAAATTGTCTTTATTTCTCGTATGTGTTTTACATTTTGTTCTACTTGTGTGCGTAAGCAAACTGATTTGCCACTTCCCACAAAATCTCGTAAAAGGTCGGCAAAGTTGAAATCACATCCGGAAAATATGAATAACGCAACATTGTGCAAATCGCTAAGGGTGCTAATATGATGAGGCGTCATTTGTCGGTTAAAAATTTCCGAGTGGACGGTCGCACTATCATATGGTTTTGCTGGAAATGTAAACAAAAACATATGGTTTTACAGCTAAAAGTAAAGAAATCAACGTAAGCGTAAACAAATATATAAGTAAAATACTGTAACGATGTTAATATAATGGTAAAGCCGAAAAAGTTAGATGCTAGTGTTTTCAGACTTTAATCTTAGAATTTATGTTCTGGCTAAATTTGTAATAATAATTACAATAATAATGATAAAAGTAAACAAGCTTTTTAATTTATAGTTATAAAGAAGATTGATTAAGATTAATATATATTTCATGTAATGTTTGCATATTTATTGTTCCACAATTTAGAAATTACCACTTATCACTATTTAATAAAACAATTTGGTGAATATATTTCAACTTTAAAATGTATAGTCTTTAGTGCTTATTATTCATTTCTTAGATAATGGTGCATGATAAATACCGAAACTGAAAATCAAACAATTTAAAAAAAAATGTACTTTAATGTAATGTAAACATAAATTAGAGAAATAATTTTAAAATTTAAAAGAAATTATTATAATTTCTTGCGCGTTTTCCTTTTTGTTTTATTTATAGTTGAAGTCCCAACCCGAAAATAGGAATAACGTCTCATTGTGTTGTCGCCTTAATTGTGTACAAATCGAACGAACGTTGTTAAGAAGAAAATATACAATAAAAATTTTACACTTGCGTTAGAGATTTTGTGTTTCGATATTAATTTGAATGGAAGCAACAATGATTTGTCGCTTGTGCTTAAAAGAGGTTAATGAATTTAAAAGTGCGTTTGCCGTGACGGAGAATAAACCAACCATGGCTTCAGTAGTCAGAATTCATTTCTGGTTTGAGGTAAATACAATTGCAAACTTTCTTTCAGGAAGGAAATAAATAATTTCATTCTTCTTCTTAGCTGCAACAAAACGATCCCATATCAACAGTAATTTGCAATAGTTGTTGGTGTAAGGTTTCCGATTTCCATGACTTCTATAAAAGCGTTGAGGAAGCTCAGAGTCATCTGGGAGAAAATGTCACAGTGAAAATTGAGAACATTAGCGCGGAGCATTCCATAGAAAATGTGATGATTCCATCATTTTCATTGTCGAGTAAACAGGAACCCGAAGTCAATTTCGACGAAGTTAATGATGAAGTTCCTTTTGACATGACGACGGTTGAAACGCCTAGTACGCGTACAGGTCTCAGAACCGACGACTCCCATGACATATGGAGAAGCCAAAAAAACAGTGATAACAATGCCATTGAGGATATCAAAGACATCATTGACTATAAAGATGAAATATTCAGTGATCATAACTCCGACCCGGTTAACAGAACAACTTTTGCAGAAAATGAAGAAAGTAATAAAGTAACCATAAACAAAAAAGGAATAAATAAAACTAATAAATTGTCAGTTAAGGCACAACGGAAAGTCCCGCTAGCACAGAAAATTCATTGCAAAAACGGACGTGCAGCAAAAGTGCCTGAAGTAGAAAAGAGCAATGTCAAAAAAACGAAGGAACTCTCTGAACAAGCTAAAGCTATTCGTGAACAGGGTTTAGCCTTTGACGGAGAAATCGCCAAGTTTATGTCATTGCATTGTGAACTTTGTAAAGTAACGGCTACGAATTTTAGCTCCCTTCATACCCACATGCTTGCAGAACATAAAATCAATGGTTACGTGAGATGTTGTAATAAGAAATTTTCGAAACGTTTCGCACTTCTGGATCACATACGACATCATTCAAATCCTGAGCGTTTCAAGTGAGTAAATTCATACTTGTTAATACATTCCCTGCCACGTATACCGCGCTGAAATGCATACGCACACCAATTAAATTGTTAAAGTTTCAAACAAGAAATTAGTTATTACTAGCAATACTTGTGATGCTTACGACATGGTTTGAGATATCGAGATATCGCGCGTACCGATGACAATACAAACGACGTGCCCATTAGTGACCAATGAATGTTTCAGTCCTTATTCGGCCTTTTGTTTCATTGTTAATTTACAAATTCCTATTTCGGTTATATATTTGATTTATTTTAAAAAGTCATTCAAATTTTTGTATTCAACCTATCTCTATAAAGATAAAGTTTTATTAATATGCACTTCTTAATTTCAACTATTGTACTCCAAGTGAACAATGAAAATCATTGAGTTTATTTATATGATAGAAAAACTGTTGACGAATTTCAATCTGTAGAGAAGTAATAACAAGTAATAAATAATGAATTTTCTGACCTTCTACCTTCTAGAAAACACCATGAAATAAAAAAAGGCAGCGGCAGCCCGGCAAAAAGGTATCGATGCAAATCATGTTATGAGAAAGCTGTGAACATTTTTAATAGCCAAATCGCCCGAAATACCACAAAAAGGGTGACGACGTTTTGCAATGATTGTCCCAATAAACCGTATTTATGCATTCCTTGTTTCAACGAGATTCATTGCTACATGCAAATATAGTAAATTAAAATAAGACATACTTCACGCTCATTGCGCACACGATTTTTATTTAATATGAAATAAATTTTTTTTTCTTTTTACCCTATGGAGCATTTTGTTGTTTGAATATTTTTGGTTATGAAAAATTTATGCGGCCCACGCGAAATGAAAATGGCATCTACGTGCAAGGGGACATGTTTATAGAAACATTTACAGTTCTTTGTCTTTTCTTTTTAGATGTGAGCAATGCAATCGTGTTTACGCTAATCGAAATTCAATGCGCACTCATTTCCTTAGCAAGCACAAAAACGACAAAGAGAAAGTATTTACTTGTTCTCAGTGCCCTCAGAAATTTTTCAAAAAGTATTTACTAAGAAAACATGAACTGTTCGGGCATAGTGATCATAAAAACGCCTGCATAGCCGTCGATGAGGAGATAGCCAATTTTATGCCATTGCGTTGTGAGCTGTGCAATGAGGAGTCTACCAATTTTACAGCTCTTAAAGGACACATGCGTGATGAACACAACGTCAAAGGCTACGTCCGATGTTGTAATAAGAAATTTTCTGAGCATGGTTTACTTGTTGAGCACATACGCGCCCATTTAAATCCTGCATGTTATAAGTAAGTGAATTACTTTTTTGTTGATAAAAACATACATTACTTGCTTTTACTTTTTAGATGTGAAGAATGTAGTCTTGTCTTTCCCGATCGCCAGTCTATGCGCAATCATTTCCTTATGGAACACGGAAAGATGGAAGATAAACCCTTTGCTTGCTCTCTGTGCTCTAGCAAATTTGTTACAGTATATTTGTTACATCGACATACAGCAGTTGTTCATGGTGACCATAGCAAAACCTGCAGCAGTTGTCGGAAAAAGTAAGTTATTCGTAAACACTTTGAAACATGTTTCCTCATAGTATCATATTTAGATTTGAAACTGCCGCTCAATTATCGGCTCATGTTAAGGAACAATGCTTATGTGATACATGCGCGGAAGTTGTATGCGGCGCTGCTGCCCTTCAACATCACCTATTAAAACATAAGAAGAATTATGTTGAAATGGAAGAAGAAGAATGTTCATGATGTTTGCAACACGACGCCGCTCCGACAACTTAATTAATTCGTAAAAATGGTATTCTCGATACCTTCTTAATCCCATGATCCTCAATTCATGCACAAAGAGTGGAAGCACAAACAGAACCATGTTAAAAAGGAGTGCAGTGTGAATTTAGATTAAGTTATTAATGACTGATGATCACATGTATTAATATAATAGAACTTGGAGTTCTATACCTCTTGATACTTGGATTTCTCTTCCTTGTTGTTTTTTCTTTACATGCAAAAAGATGTTTAGTATAACATGGGCGATGACGTACTACGACGTTTAAATTATCACCGGGGCTTTGCATGTTTTGCAACCATTCAATTATGCATATAAAAAAAGTACAGAATGCCTTCCTATATATCTCTGCCTTACGCAATATGGTTAGTAAAATTGGCGTTTAAAACTTTGAAGGATTTTCGGTTTATTTAACTTTTAAACGTAAACCATTGAAAATAAGAATCAGTGCGACGGTGTATTCCCAAATATGGAAAAGGTTCTTGATGAAGTCTGGCATGAGGCCTTGCTCTCAAAATTTAAAAAATTTATTCCAACTCTAATGTATTTGCTACAATAGAAACATTTTTATGTTAAAGTTGAAAACGATGGTTCGTATATAAATAAAATTTAAGGTATATAATTTTCATTTCAGGTTATCTTAACTCCGACAATATTTTAACTGCAACTTATGCAGATGACACAGAACTCATGTATTCGCACAACGTCTTGGCGTCGACTTATCTGCTGTTATCTACTTCCAAAAGTGTGCTTCAAGAAAAAGATTGCAATCAAGCGAGGAAATCATAGTGGAAACTGGGCGAATGCGTTCCCTTTTGAGCTTTGTTTTGCTCAAAGTATTGTTCTTATCATTTCTTTTATCATGTAATACATACTTCCTTGGCATTTCACAATATTTCCAAGCAAATATTTTTAAAAACAAAGGATTGCAAAAATCAAAGCATGTATTCGCCTAGCGATCCTATGAATATTTCCTACGAAGTACAAATTCATTAAATTAAAATAAATGCCGAAAAATCCATGCATGTTATCGTTCCGGTTGGGATATGACGCAGGGTTTTCTAGCTGATCCGTCCCAGGAAAATTTATAAGCTTGTAGAAATAAAACTATCGGACTTTCGATATAATCCAGATCGTAGCTTTCCTTCTCTTTTGAAACGCCTAAGTGGTCATAGCAATCCAGGCAGCTGGAGGAAGGCATGACTGTTGAATATCGCGGTTGACTTTGTAATTTACGTACCATCCAATGAAGAGAAAGAAAAAAAAACAAACCAACACACGCGACATCTGTACTCATTCTATTTATTAGCTGTCCACATCCGGATTTATTGGTCAGATACTTCTCTAAAAGGATATACATTATTCTTCAGCAATGGTAATTGGAAATACCCTAAAGTACGGAAGCTCTATGCATGCAGCCTGTTTATTAGGTACCTTCTTGTTTCTTCTAAGAGGAATGCAGAATGGAGGACTAGTACTCTCTACCACTATACCACCGTCTTAGCAGTATCCTAGACACCACCAATCTATCTAAGAGATTCCTACGGGTTGCGCACTAGCAGTGTCTTTCTTCTTTTTTCTTTTTAGGCAAAATGTATTTATCGTCCCCTCGTCTTAATGGTCATGTTATTAACAAAAGCTTCACTTTCTCATTGACTCCTGAAGCACGATTAAGTGTTGCACACAATGATTGCTTTACGCGCTGTGCGCGACGTATAACGCACAGTCAGTTGAACACATAGCTTGCATGCGTTGCTAGCAAGTGCAAAGTGAAAAGTTTTGCTTAAAGCAAAAGAAGGAAGAAAGGGAAAAAATTATTCCGGGTAAGTCCACTCTTTTGTTAATAATATAATATTTAAAATTAAGCAATTTTTAATAAGTTTAATAGGTTTGTTAGGAAACATTTGAGAGACAAAAGAAGATGGATAGGAACGATTTAAATATTTTAGTTATGATGGTGAGGCGATGTGAGAACATTAGAGAAAGTTAGCGTCCTCAAAGGAATTACAAAAAGAGATTCTTGGCAAGATTAGCCTTCGACCATATGTATTATAATGACGTTGAGAGACTTACACTGAATGTTCGCCTGAATTCTGAAGAATTTGACCTTCTTTTAAATTTAGGGAAGGAGCAGTTTACAAATCTTGACTACAACTACTTCTTTCAATATGTAAAAACATTTTCATGCCTCACAAAGTGGTAAATGGCTCCAGAATCCAAAGCATAAACCATTTTATTTTCACTATATTGGTTTTTAAAATTGTTTGAACCAATCATGAAATTAACTCCTGTACAATTAGCTTCTTAGGATTATCACTCACATCTTTAGCTCAGCAATCAATCCCTGCATTTTTTGATTTCTTCAGCTAATAGCCACACTGCGTCCCTTCCCAACTTTAATACCGCTTTGGAAAGATTTTCTAAGGTCGTTACAATTGGATTATATAACACTGGTCGTTTCCGGTTTAGATTTAGCAAATTTTAATTGCCTTATAAGTACATTGAACTGCAAAAGGTATGCACTTAATTCCTCACTTGCCAATTTTCTTCTTACTGAAGTTTAGCTTTAAGTACCCTTGCACTCAAAACTTGAATACAATCTGCTCCACGTTTCTCTGATAATTGTTCCATCCCAAACGTACTCCAGCAAATCATCACGAGTAAATTACGTAACAACGTCCTAAGCCTTAACGTCTTTCCTTAAAAATTCATCTCACTTAGCTCCTTCTGCAGACATCGTAATATATTATGTACATTATAATGCTATACTGAAAGGAGCGGGAAAAACATATTACGGTATTATTACGGCTGTAAACGTGAATCGTGTGTTAGTTTTCGTCGTGACGGCTAAGTATACTGTCGTATACTGGTGTAGGTTTTATTCATACGACAGAAATTTGAAAACTGCAACAAATGATCATAGAAAATTTCTCATTCTTTCAGATAGCAAATCAGGTCTGCTTTTAATAAATAAAAGAGAGGCAGAAAACGAATATATATTTGGAATACATAAAATACATACAAATTGAGGACGTCCTGTCCTTAGCGTGGATACCAGGTTGCTCTGGCTTTTTTTAAACGATTTTCATGCATAAAGAGCTCAATTCGATGATACAATCTTTTCGAATGGTCGTCCATAACACTCCGCCAAGTGAATATTTTTGGTGCCAAAATATTTGGTAGGACTTCCTGATTTTTCCGTACAAAAATGGTCCGATCAGTTTATTTGCAAGTCCACAATTAACGATTAAATTTTATTTCCAATTTATTTTTAATTTTTTCTAACGCACCTTGTATTCAATTTTATTATTATTTGCGGTTATGTTTTTAAGTAGATCGAAACAATCTTTGAACTAAATGAGAAGATTCTGGTCTGCAAAAGCTTCTTTAGGAAATTAACCAACCACACAAATGCGCAAATGAGGCGGGGTATGAAAACTCATTCGAATTTATTTAGTATTTTTAGGTTTGCGTAATCGTAAGTCTTATCGCTATTTAGTGATGGCGTAAAAATGTGTCAAGAAAGGTAAGATAATGTGAACCATCAAATAAAAATTAAACGAAAAGTTGTTAATTTTGTTCGATAATTTAAATTTATTTTCTGTCCTTAAAGTACGGCCAAGTTCTATTTAGTGGCTATTTTTATCTACGGGATAAAATCGTGTGTTGTTAAACTACGGAGCATAGAAAAAATAAGAAGCTTATAGAAAATAAAAAATTTTACACTTGCGATAGAGACTATTTTTTTGATATTTATATGAATATAAGCAAGAATGATTTGTCGTTTGTGTTTAAAACAGGTTAATGAATTTAAAAGCGCGTTTGAAGTAACGGATAATAAACCAACCATGGCTTCAATAATCAAAAAACACTTTTGGTTTGAAGTAAATAAATTTCAACCTTCTTCCCGGAAGGAAGTAAAAATTTTCTTTCTGTTTTTCAGCTGCAGCAAAACGATCCAGTATCAACAGTAATTTGCGATGATTGTTGGTTTAAAGTTTTTGATTTTCATGAGTTTTATAAAACCGTTGAAAAAGCTCAATGTCAGTTGGGCGAAAATGTCGTAGTGAAAATTGAAAACATTAGCGCGGAGCATTCCATAGAAAACGTGATCATCCCGTCATTTTCATTGTCGAGTAAACAAGAACCTGGTGTTAACTTCGACGAAGTTAATGATGAAGTTCCTTTTGATATGGTCGCGACGAATGACAACACGCGTGCAGATGTCAGAGCAGAGGATTCCCACGATATATTGGGAACTCAACAAGGTTGTACTAATAACGCCATAGAGGATGTTAAACATGTCGATGTTTACAAGGATGATAGATTTAATGATCACATTGATGATCCATTTAACAAAGAAGTGTTAGCAGAAAATGAGAAAAATAATAAAGTAAGCAAAAAGAAAAAAGGTGTAAAATCTTCAGAAAAGGCTAGAACCACCAGATCTTCGTCTAAGGTACAAAGGGACGCACAGAATATTCGTTCCTCAAAACCAGCTGCAACAAAAGTTCGCAAGATTGAAAAGAACAGGGTCAAAAAAGTGAAAAAAAAAGAACTTTCCGAACAAGCTAAAGCTATTCGTGAGCAAGGTTTGGCATTTGATGAAGAGATTGCGAAATTTATGTCTTTGCGTTGCGAGCTATGTAGCCTTGAAGTAAAAAATTTTCATGACCTTGAAAGCCATATGCACGCAAAACACAAAGTCAAAGGATACGCCCGATGTTGCAATAAGAAATTTTCTAAGCGCTTTTTACTGCTGGACCACATACGCCAACATTCAAATCCCGATTGTTTCAAGTGAATAAATTCACGTGGGTCAATTTGATTTCTAAATATTATTTTGATTTTGTTTTTAGATGCGGTCCATGTAAGCGGGTTTTCGCAGACCGTAAATCTATGCAAAATCATTTCCTTATCAAACATCAAAAGGATGAGGATAAAATGTTCTCCTGCTCACAATGTTCCAAGAAATTTGTTAGAAGATATTTATTACGACAGCATGAATTAGTGGGTCATAGCGACCATAAAAACGCTTCTTTAGCTGTTGATGAGGAAATAGCCAAATTTATGTCATTACATTGTGAACTATGCAGCGTGGAGATAGCAAATTTTACCGCTCTTCGCAATCATATGGTCGCAGAGCACAACATCAAAGGTTACGTGAGATGTTGTAATAAGAAATTTTCCAAACGTTTTTTACTTTTGGAGCACATACGAACGCATTTAAATCCTGCTTGCTACAAGTAACAAAGCCCAAATTTATTATTGAAACTAATTCCAATTGATTCTTCTTTTAGATGTGAGAACTGTAGTCGTGTATTTCCTGATCGTAAGTCGATGCGTAATCATTTTCTTATGAAACATCAAAAGGACGAAGACAAAACATTTGCTTGTTCTCAGTGTCCCAGCAAATTTGTTACCGTGTACCTATTACAGCGACACAAAGTGATTGCGCACCGTGATCGTACCAACACTTGCAAAAGTTGTAACAGAAGGTAAGTAAGGAAGATTTTATTTATAAATTCTCACGTAATTTTTTCCACGTTTCGTGTTTTTAGATTTAGTACAGGTGTTCTGTTATCTGCTCATATCAAGGAGCAGTGTTTATGCGATACGTGCGGGGAAGTTGTGTGTAACACTGCTGCGTTTCAACGTCATCTATTGAGACATAAAAACTGCCTTTCGGAATCCAAAGAATTGCGCACCTGTGATATTTGCCAAAAGGTATCAACAAGTCAACAAGACATGTTGGCTCACAAACTTTGTGCTCATAATCCCTTACGTACTTACGAATGCAATACGTCCTCTATGCACGATAACTTTCCATTTCAATATCCATATGCAATCACATCCCAAGAAAATGCATCCACAATGCTCGCGTATTCGAACCATCCGTACTCCGTCAATCGCCGTTGAATGAATCAAGCAGTAGTAGAAAGTTGCGCAAAATAAAATTATCTAAGATATTTTAGTAACATCAGTTGCAAAACAATTGCATTTCAAATTAAACTATTAATTTATTGTCAACGCCTTTACTACATTAAATGCTGATTTACATCTAACTTCACTCGTGAATAGAATATTGGAAGGCATATTTCATTTATACAGGTCTTTCGCTTACAGATCGCCATGTCCACTAATTGCTTTATTATTCAAAAGCACGTCTTTTATACGTCGACAATATATGTAATAAAAGTTAAATTTATAATAATAATAATTTTTTCTTTCTGAATTATGTTAGACTGATTTCTTGCCAAAGAGAAGTAGAAGGTGTTAAATTTTCCCGATTTTTTTTTTAATGATTTGAAGAATCGTTTCTTTAGTAGCTTATACGGCAATGACAAACAACAAATATCACACCTTTTTCTTATTTTCTAAAGTTTGACCTTTTGTGTATTATTTTATTGAACAAGAATCCATAGCATAAAACGCATTTTACCGTTGTTTTGCGCATTGCTTTCAATTATTTAATCAATAGATCCAGTTTGGCAGATTTCATTGTCTGTACCAACCTATGACGTCAAGCTGTCACCCACCGGCCATGTTATGCTGTTTGATAGTGCTTCCGGCTAGATAACCAGCACGAGCTCTCTGCATTAATTTTGTTGTACTTGCGCAAGTAACTTTCGCAACTTATCCCCTCGTAAAGGCTGTGGCTATGCTCAAGTTAGGAATCTTATTAGATTTTATTTGATGGGAGTTAGCTTAATAGACATACACCTAAAAAGAAAAAAGAAAGAATACCAAAAAAAAAAAACAACGGTGCAAGCATAAGTTCGTTCATCATTTGTAATGCGTCCGTTTGTTTTGCTCCAATTCTCCAACTCTCCGCTTTTTGTCATATAAATGTCTGTCGCTATGTCTCCATGCCAGTTCGCCAACTCCGTGACCTATACTTCGATTTCTCCGTCCATATTTCTACCCATCTTCACAAACCCTTCATTTCGATTTTAATTCATGTTAATAATGTCAGGTCGATATGATAAGATTCCAACATTTGTTAGTGTTAAATCTTTCTTTGTTCCCCCAGTTCACATCTTATTGTATTTTGATAGCCATTAAATCTTTGAATATTATTTAAATTGATAGCGTACGTAAGTTCGCAAACGGAATTAGTTATCGTTACCCAAATTTTTTTTTCTTTTTTTTTCACATATTTAATTTACATCGTATCCTTAAAGATAAATAAATGTTGTAGCAACGTGGATAAGAAAACAGAGGTTATTGTCCATCATTGGGAATAATAAAAAAAAATAACAGATGTGATATTTAAGTAAATAAAAGGAAACTATATGAACTTTGAAAATTCATTAAAACATTTTAAGAAATAAAAGTAAATCAATTTCCAAATAGAAGATCCTGTATGTGATGACTTTTGGTTTTTTTTTGTAATTCATTGAATTCATCTAAACTAGATATTCCAAAGGGATTATTCAGTCTGACAAGATATTTTAAAGAGAAGACTTTTAACAAATGGAAAATCCAAATCATCACAAATAGTTTTGTTCCTAGTCAATGTTAGCCAATTGGTTTTTAAGTTGAGGTGGCTTTTATATCATTTTTCCATGTTTATAAGTGTTGTAAGCATGTCAAGAATCCTTATTTAGTGTAAACGTCATACGCGTGGAAAATTATATACAGTAAAAAAGAGAAAATTATATAGAGAATTTAGAACACTTTCGTAAAACACTCCTTCAACTTTATTTATGTTATTTCTATCATTTCCAACTTTAACGTGGAAAGATTCGCTTTGCAAATAGCATTTGAGCAAAAATACATATGAGTTGGAAGAAGTTTCATATCATACAATGTCTGGGATGAAAGATTCTTGGCTGAAAAACCGCCCAGTGAAGAGAATTCAATATTTTCTGGCTAAAAACCGTTAATTGACTATTTAGCAATAAAGAGAGCGCAGAGTTGCTTGTAATAAATAAGAAAAATTGACAATAAATGGCAACGCTTGCTCATGAACTCTATCAAAAAGGCAAAGTAGTAGCGGAATAAAATGTTAAAAGGCAAAGTGGTAACGGAATAAACTGTTAAATTGAAAAGCTGCCGGCATTTATATCTGTTAAATTAAAACATGTGTTTTTTAATTATTTCGCGAAAGGCAGGAATACTCTTACAACTACATTTAAAGAACGATTTTTGGGAAAAAAATTTTTTTTAACTATGAATAATCTTGCTTTTAATATGAGTAAGAATATGTAATCTTCTGTTTCCTTTTTAATATGATCTTACAAGTTTTGTTCAAAAGTTCTCTTTGTTTACAAATATCTTTTGTTTATATTAATAAATGCTACTATTATTTAGTGTAACAATTTCATTACATGTTCTATATGCGTTTTCTGTATAAAAGTTTTGTATGGAAGTTCTATTTGTTTACAATTATCTTGTGCTTGGATCCGACCAACCGATTAGCCAGATTGGCGCCAGAATTACAACTGCGGAATACAATATACAACAGGGTAATAAAATAAAGTTCAAGCATACAACACAACCACAACACATGGTTTCCGATTTCACGGTCATCAATGATCACCTTTATCGACATTCCCCTATGAGAGACAGGATTCTGAAAGAATACGATGATGAGCAGGACACCTCGGAAAATGATTAACAGGAATATCTCCTCAGATGTACGAAATTGTGTAACTTGTTACCAATGCAAGCATACAAAACAGATTCAACTTTAACTTACATCGATGTTGTTTGTTTTTACCATTTTTCCATGAACATACGAATGATAGCAACGAAAATGAATCGAACATCTTACGGGATCGCGATCTAAACGTTTACCAACTAACGCCCTGCTCGTGAACGAAAATTAGATGCGTGATTGCATGATTTGCTGTTGAGTCTATATTGTGTTGTTAAATTTCAGCAAAAATAAGAAGAGCATACAAGGTCCAAAAATTTTACACTTGGAATAGAAAGTTTATTTTTTTTAATTAATATAAACAAGAATGATTTGCCGCTTATGTTTACAAGAAAGTTGTGATTTTAAAAGTGCATTTGACTCGGCAGACAATGAACGGACTATCGCTTCAATTATTGAAAAGTATTTCTGGTTTGAGGTAGACAAATTCCGAATTATTCCGCAATAGCAATTAATGATTTTCTTGCATTTCAGTTCCAGCAAAACGATCCAGTATCAACAGTGATTTGTAACAATTGTTGGCTTAAAGTTTCTGACTTTCATGAATTCTATAAAAGTGTTGAAGAGGCCCAAAGTCATCTGGGCGAAAATGTCGTAGTGAAAATTGAAAATATTAGTGTGGAGCATTCCATAGAAAATGTAATAGTTCAGTCGATCCCTTTTTCTAGCAAGCAAGAGCCCAACGATTTTGCAGAAGCCAATGATGAGGACCCTTTTGATATGCCAATAGATAGAGTAGATAATAATCCGTCATCATTACTAAAGGGAAAAGATTCCAATGATAAATTAAGGAGACAAACTTATGGTATTAATTCTATGGAAACGGTTGAGAATGTCGGTGATGACAAAGACGAAAAATCTAGTGGTCATAACGGCAGAAAAGCAGCAGTTAAGAAGTCTTTGAAAAAGAAAAAGCCCATAAAATCTGCCACAACGGGTAGAACTAAAAAAAATCCTATGCCTAAATTACAACGGAATGTAAACTTATGCTTAACGAAAAATACAAGAAAGTTGGGCAAAACTGAAAACAACAACTCAAAAAAAGAAAAAGTCAAAAAACCGATTGAAGATCCGAAAAGTATAGCTTTCGATGAAGAGATAGCTAAGTTTATGTCGTTACATTGTGATCGGTGCAAATTAGAGGCCAAGAATTTTAATGCTCTGCACAGTCATATGCTCGCAGAGCATAACGTTAAAGGTTACGCAAGATGTTGCAATAGGAGATTTTCTTCACGCTTTTTATTACTTGATCATATACGCCGACATTCTAATCCTGACAGTCTGAAGTGAGAAAAGTGATAGTGATGCAATAAAACTGACTTTACTTTCCTGTCTTTCCCTTTAGATGCGAGCCATGTAATCGTATTTTTGCCGATCGCAATTCTCTGCGCCACCATTTACAAATCAAACATCAAAAAGATGAAGATAAAATGTTTTCCTGCTCTCGATGTCCAAAAAAGTTTGTTAAAATGTATTTGTTGCGACAACATGAGCTTGTCGGCCATAGCGATCATAAAAACGCTTGTCTGGCTGTTGATGAAGAGATAGCCAAGTTTATGTCGCTGCATTGTGAACAATGCAATGAAGAGGCGACCAACTTTACAGCCCTTAATCGGCATATGCGTGCTGAACACAACGTGCGAGGCTACGTCAGATGTTGTAATAGGAAATTTCGTGAGCGTGGTTTGCTTGTTGAGCACATACGCGCACATTTAAATCCTGCTTGTTACAAGCAAGTATATCCATTTTTAAGGAAAACGTTAAATAATCTTCTTTTTTTTTCTAGATGTGAGGAGTGTAGTCTCGTTTTTCCGGACCGTAAGTCGATGCGTAATCATTTTCTTATGATTCATCAAAAGGAGGAAGACAAACCTTTTGCTTGTTCTCAGTGTTCCAACAAATTTGTTACAGTATACTTGTTACAATTACATAAAGTGGTTGCTCATGGCGACCCTACAAATACTTGCAAAAGCTGTAGCAGAAAGTAAGCTGTTTA